TATATATATTATGTACAAAAACAATAAACACTTTGAATCTTGAATATAACATTTGTACTTGATTAAACTACATTGAAAGAGCAGGTACTGTTAAATCTTACCTGAGCAAAGAGAAAACACTGTAGGAATTCCTGACTGAACTCTGGTCGACCTGAAGCTGAGTATAATTCCTCCGCTCTGACTGATCCTGAAACAGCCACATGTTCTTGTTTTAATGCAGAACCCAAGGCATGTTTGAATAAAGCTAATGCCATTAGGACTTAGAGGTTCATTATTGTGCAAAAAGCTTTGGAAAATCAGACCAAAGGTTTTTACCTTAAGATCAATATCAGCTGCATAGTAGCCATCATTCAATCCAAATATGATCTCATTTGGACTTCTGGATCGAATCTGTGGACAAAGAAATGAGGGGAGAAGGCTGAATGTAGAGCTAGAGATGAGAGCAAAATCTAGACAGCATCTGGAGGTGCAGGAGTTATCTTTTCATTAGATGTCAAATGAAAAGGAATGGCTCCAGCACGCATTGCAACACTAATGTTCCAGTATGTTAGGCTATCTTAAAACGTTGAATTAAAAGAGTTTAACTGAGTTACAACATTTATATTTTATTTTCCAAACAGACAAATAACTTGCATGAAAACGTTAATATTTAAAGGGAAAGTTTGCTTTGAAACTAACCATGTGTTRGATCCCCAGCCCCCACCCCTCCTTAGCTGTCTTGCTCTTGCGAGTCGTTTTTTTGTGCATATGATWCTGTGTTTATGAGTTGTTATGGCAATATTTATTTAACAAAGACAGAAATACGTGGTCCAAGAATGGAGGTACTCCGTGGGATGATCAGCTGAGTTTTATTGCAACAACAGGAAACACAGAGAATAACCTGGCCTGTCTCTGTGCCTCTGCTTCTCTCTGTCACTGTCTCTCCACACTACTCACTACTGTTGAACACTGTGTCTCGAGAGGCCTCATTTATACTGTATATTAACAAACACCATAATGTCATCTTAGCAAGATTTGATACAAGGTCAATGGAAAACACAAAGATAAACACAAAGTGATATCTAAGAATGACTGTTGTTAGCAAATCTTGTTCTGACTTTAATCATTCTATCTGCAGATGAACAGCATGCCATGAAAACCTAGGTCATTAAAGGATGTCATGAATAACTAGCTTAAACATAAAAGTATTAGATCCATTACATATCACCCATCTGATCATTAAATCAACAATTAAATGATCAATAAAACAAAAAAACTCTTTGATGTATTTTAAATAAAACATGTCAACATAAACCTAATTACATGTACTTTTCTGAAATCCCAACCCCAGTAATTCAATTTTTATTCCTCCCACAGTAATTACTAACCCCAAAACACAGTTATCACACAAAAGTCTTTGGATCATCTTGAACACAAACAGGCTTGTCTGTTTTGTTATATGGAAGGGTCAGAGGTGGTGGTGGGGCTCTGRGACTTTTTGTAGATCGTGCGAGGGGCTGGAAGAGGAGGGTTAGCTGGATTTGGGCATGGCGTTTGTTTGAAATTAATCTCGCCAGGTTAACTAGCTTAAACATAAAAGTATTAGATGCATTACATGAGTAAATACCTAAAGTGTAAATAGCCAAAGTGTCAAAGGGAATTGCATTATTATATAAAGCAAAACAAGTTCTGAATTACAAATCTCTACATATTCTGTACTGTTACATAGTTCTTCCATATTTAACTAATTGTGCAGTAGTTTGGGGCAATAATTACAAAACAGTTATACAACCATTATTCATTTAGCAAAAGAAAGCAATAAGGATAATTCATGGGGTTGGATATAGGGATCATACCAATTCATTATTCTTTTTGTCAAAATTACTCAAATTTACAGATCTTGTAGAGTTACAAACAGCACTAAAAACATTTAAAGCAAAAAACAAATTATTACCAGGCAATATTCAGAAATTATTTGTTGAAGGAGAAGGGATTTATCATTTAAGGGGTCAATTTAATTTTAAATCAAGGATTGTTCAAACAACTCGAAAAGGGTTTAGTATTTCTGTTGGTGGAGTAAAACTGTGGAACAGTCTGAGTATGGAGCTTAAGGAATGTCCAAACATAAGACAATTTAAGGACAAGTATAGAAATATTATTTTCAAAAGATATAGAGATGCTCAGTGTGTCTGATTTTGTGTGTATATATATGTGTATATGTGTATATC